TTATTGCAGGACTGTTGTATTAGTTTTGGCTAGGTGTTATATAAACTGCCTTTACAGCATTAAACATATCTTTAGGTTAGCAGTTAATTCACTTTAAATTACATTTGGGGGAAATTTGAAATAATGAAGTTGGCAGTTTAAGACCCAGACCCGCTGGGGAACACCTAGGTACGGTGAAAGACTGAGGCAGCAAACCCTTTAGCTGCTTCTGATATGCAGACTTTCAACTGAAATGTAAAGCAGGACGTTTCTGAATCACAAAATAGGCCAAGTACAATTTATTTGCCAAGACCAGCTGTTCAATATTTTGTTTTGGAAGGAAAAAACCTTTCCTGAAGCCCATCACACAAAGATTGGTTTAATTTCTGGAGTAGTGTCACTTTCACCTTTAGCATGGATATGATCAGAAAGGCCATGATGTAGAGGAAACCAGAGTCTAGCAGTGTTCAGCAGGGAGGGAGGATAAACAGTCTGTCCTTGAACTGCATGGCTGTCTAAAGTGACACATGATCATCCGATTACACACCGACAACGAGAGTGGATTTGTGCCACATAGAAAATAAAGATCTTTTGTTTGAATTAACACTACCGGACCATCAAGGGGGTGTATGCCAGTGTCAGGAGATAATACAGTATTTACAGTGGAAGAGGAGACCTGTACAAGCTGGAAGAGAGGTAAACGTGCTGGGCAGGAAGGGAAAATGTCAGAAATGAGGTGCTTCACATTAAAACATGGTGATTTAGTCAGAACAAACTACTACAGAGCTTCCGGTCTGCTTCTCCCTTTCATTCTTTTCCATTCGGCTTCATCCGTTTAGTCTTTTCGCATATGTAGTCCATCTGTCAGCCTCTCTTCACTCCTTCTCTACTGAAGCATGTCCACAAAAGCGTCAAACTCGTCTATGTTTTTCTCATAAACAGCCAGCTTCTCTGGAAGTGAGTCCTGCACACAGAAAATACAAACTGTTCATTAAGGGTTTATTTTGACCAAACCAGAACCGGTGATTTCAAGTTTTATTTATAGTCCCATTGTTTTGGTCTGAGATGCTGGTGCTCTAGTGCAACATCCACTGGCAAGTGAATTCCATACAAATGACCTTTCAAAACATTATTTTTAGATGAAAGAAAAGCGTGTTACCAGGTCATCGGCCATCGACTGGGCGCTGATGTGCAGTGAGAGGCTGGCCAGCTGGGGAGGGTTCTGGAACTCTCTGTAGAAAGTGCCCAGATCCATCGGCAACAAGTCGTCTTTAGAGAAAGCTGGACGCTGCAGACAGATAAAGAGATATCGTTTAAACTTCAAACCATTTACTTGAATGTTAAAATATCTTTAATCTTAAGCAAAAATGCAAATGAGATTCTGCAGTAGAAAAAACCAGTATAGACAGAACAACAGACTTGCTGTGGTTTTATCTGTTAAATGATTTTTCTGTTTCTATCAGAATATAATTTCCACTTCCATTAACTATATAGAAACACCATCGTCCTTGCTGAGGTCCTGTTGTTGTTAGTGTGACTCAAACAATCACATTGATATAAAACGATTAAAAAAAAACGGATGGTACCAATTTATCAGCAGCACAGGCTGAAAGTTATTGTCTGGTATAACATAGCAGTCAGCTCCATGACGACTATTTCAGAGAAAATGTATCCCGACACATTGCGCCCATAGTGGAAAGCCTGGGCAGAGGAGAAAAGAGCAATAGTCACATACAAAGTCGACCATGACAAAGTCGTCCTGTGGCCCCGATCCCTCTGAGCCCTGAGAGTGGAGGCTGGCCTGCAGGGGTGACGGGCAAGGAGGAGAGTCTGGAGGCTGCACCTGAAAACACAGAAAATACCCCAACTGTAAGAAGACTTGCATCCACCTAAAGCACCTGGATGTGTTAGACTCAAACGTTAGCCAGCATCCATTTAAAGACAAACCAAAGCATTCATCATAATCAGTTACCATGGGATCATTCTCCTCTGAGTCCAGGCCTCGAGGAGCAAATGCAGCAAATGGCAGGTCCATACTGGTTGCTGTTATCTACGCACACACGCGCACACACACACACACACACAGCTGAATTCAGTGTGCTTAGTAGCTGACAAAGTGACAAACCTCGCTGAAACACTCTCCTCCAGAGACAATTCAATGTTAGCAGACATTTTAATGAATGGACAAAAACGCGTCAGCAGGAAGGAGGAAACCGGCCGGTGTGTGCCTTTTACCTGCGCGCTGGGTTTATTCACAAAGGCCCCGATTTTCCTCGTGAAGGCATTGAGAGACTCCACGGGGTCAGAGGGAGAGACGCTCCTCCCTTCATCCCTCCTTCCTTCTCCGCTGTGCGACAGGCAGTCATCGTCACCGCTGGGAGGAGAGGAGAGACACGGTTACAGGAAGTTGATAACTGATGCTGATTAAAGTCCTGTCCACTTATTTTGTTCAGATTTAAGTTCTCATGCTTTCAATACCACTCGTGTTACTCCCACACCAGAAGCAGTTATTGTTTTGATAGCGATATTCACGGGGGGAGCTCAGGGGGAGTTTGAGGAGAGGATTACCTGCTGCCAGGTGTGTTGGGGGCGTGCTCTGCTGTCAGATGGGCATCAGCTCCATGAGGAGGCTGGGCAGGAACTAACATGACCCCGCCCTCCTTCCCAGCATGCAACATCTGAGCAGGGAAGAACAGAGCAGAGTTACAGCACACGGACTAGAAATCCAAATAGACAACTCTACCCATATTAATTACCACAGACACTGTATATCTGCATACATCAGCGTCAAAGTCACTGGTCAGGCTCTGCTATGGATGTGGAAGTAAAGTGACGGGTGTATCACCTGGTTTGGATTGGCAGCAGGGTGGCAAAGATCAGCAGCTCCTGCTAGAGCTGGAGGCTGGTATGATAGTCTGGAAGCGTACAGCTAGAGAGAGAGAGAGACAGAGAGAGAGACAGAGAGAGAATATTAATCACAGAACATGGTGGGTTTCAGGTTTAACATTGGTCAAACGTCAGAGCTGTGCCCTTGAGATGGGTCGAGGATTAATGGGGTTTACGAGGGTGGAGATGATAAAGCGTTACAATGACAGGCCTGGTGCATCACACAGGAGCTACAGTGTGTACAGTGATGGCACTTTAAACACAGTCCAAAGGAATGATGGATGGAATGAAGAGAAATCACAACTCAGAGTGAGTTCAAGGTGTATCACACTCTCACAGTGGCCAGTATAGACTCACAGTGTGAGTGACAAGTCCAGGAGCCAATGGGAGCTGCAGACTATCCAGGGGGACGGGCTTAGACAGTTTAGAAGGCGAAGGACTCAGTGTGCACACACACTGAGGTAATGCAGACACACACACACACAAACACACAGATAAACAGACGATAAAAAGACAACAGGAAGGAAAACAGACAAAGAGAGAAAAGAGAAAGTGAAATAAAAGAACAGGTTTGAAAATGGGAGAGAAGTCAACGGATACAGAAAGAGACAGTAAAGAGGAGCGAGGGAGTGTGTCCTCTTACCTGAGAGGGAGGGGAGGTGGAGAAGGAGGTGGTGCAGACCTCCTGGGAATCCTGAACACCTGCAAACGGTCCCCCGTCCTCCTCATCTGGAGCTCTGGACAAACACACACACACACACACTATAATTCAGATGATTCAAGTTTGAATCAAGCTTCGGATTTTGTCTTTAAAGCACACACAGAGAGATTACTCAGAAACAGGGTCTGTGCATTAACTTTGCAGACATAAGTCACCATGAGCAGATGGATCCAGTGTGACCTCCGAAGGATGACTCACATCACCTAAAAGCTCTCGATTGTTGAGACGAGGCTCAACTGCAATATCTGAGTGTCTGCTGGTCATTTAACTGAGTGGAGGCAGATAACGTCAGCATTGTCACTTCTAAATGAAACATGTGATTTTAGCCTCAACTTTATTTAAGGTGACTTGTTCTTTATGGCCTTTGTTTTAATACTTTTTATCCATCAAGCTTTTTCAATGGATTTTAACTATTTTTATTTTTTTTTCACTTTTATTGTTGTAATTTTTAAGTCTTTCAAAATTAAATTCATTGTTGTCCATGTGTATGAGAGGTGCTGTCTAAATAAAGTTGAGTTGAGTACCTGTAGTTGCAGGGCTGCCCCATGTTTGCAGGACGCTGGCTGCTGCAGGGAGGATCCACAAAGTGATCCACAATGATCCCCATGATGGGAGCCGACCGCTCAAACTGTCTGCAGAGGACGACATTTCCACAGTTGTGCTCATTTTGAGTGGTGAAACACTAAAGCTAAATTATGACATCTTCAAAAGCAACATTTTGTAGCGTGTTACCTGCTGGACATGAATGCCAGGTTGGTGCGGTAAGCACATGAAAGTGTGACTGTGCCAACAGGGGTGCCGACAACGCCGACACGCACCGTCTGAAAACCTGTAAACACAAACAGATGAGGGTTTATTTTGGTCTGATGTTTCAAGATAAATTATGCCTTGAATGGTGAGCGCTGTACAGTCTATTTAGTGTTTTATTTTGTGTTTACATGTGACAATCTCATTGTACATGCGTATAGTGACAATAAAGGCATTCTATTCTATTCTACTTTCAAGACTGCTTCATAATATATTTCATTATTTTATATGGCAAGTACCATAAAAAATAAAAATAAATACATGTAAAATATTGGTATTTAAGTCCTTTTGCACCTTAGTCTGTAAGATTGTATACACAAGTGCACCAGGGTTTAAAAATGTTTTGTAATGTCTACAGTAAAATACGTAGGTGTGGGGCTTTTAGACTCGAGTCTTATTTCAGTGATTTACACTGAGTTTACAGTTACCTTCTCCTAATCCGCTCAGCTGGACCTCCCCAAAGTAAATCCTAGACATGAGAGAGGTAGATGGTAACATGTCATACATCAATTCAATTAAACTGACTTTTTAGGCATTTAGGATGAAAACCAAGACACATTTCCAGATATAGGAAACTCCTGACAAAAAGGCTACATAGTTAAATGTTCAGCAGCAGAAAAGAAGCACACAAGAAACCGCTATATAACAGGACGGGTCGAGTCCACTCACCTATATAAGATGACATAGTCGTGTCCCTGCTTTCTAGACAGTTTATAGGCGGGTGTTACTCTGGTGATGGCCAGCAGAGACTTCAGAAGGACAGACAGACGATTGTAGACTGTATACGACACCTTGATGTCCTTATCACACCTACAGTAGAGAGACAACACATCGACTCATTATTTCAAATAAATGTCAGCTTACTAACAGGGCAGCGTGGGCCCAGACACCAACGTTATGGCAGAGAGAAGCATTCATCACAAGCAACGGTTACAGTAATAGTGTCACATAATGATCTGCAGTCTTCCAGGTTATTCCATTCCAGGACCATTTGGCCACTAATGCAACTTAAAAACACAAACAAGAGCAAAAAATCCACTCACTTTTCATTCATCTCCAGGCACCAAGTCTCCAGCTCCATTGAGTCACCCTGGTTGAGAAAGAGAGAGACAGAAAGATCAACAGAGGGACATTAAAGTGGACTGAAAACCAACTTGAGTGGTCTGATTACTCTGTAAAACACTAGTGACATTTACATAGAGGGGTCAATCTTTTATGGTCCCGTGTTTTAGACTCACACAGCAGTAAATGTATTTTGTTGTTAACAAAGATCTTGCCAACCTCTCAGCATTTATAAAGCTGATACATTGAGTAATCATTTGTTATGTTTTAATTGAGCTTATGTCAAAATTCTGTGTTTCTTCTCGTTCCTACAGCCGGATGTTTGATCTTCACTGTGCAGAATGATGTATGAGCAGAGTTTGACAGTATGGAGGGATGTTTTCACATTCATCTGCTGAAAGTGGAAAGTTTCTCTGTGCTCACTGATGATGCGAGGTTTCCCCCACTGAGGGACGTTTTACCTCTGACGTCTTCAGGGAGATCTCGACGCACATGGAGCGTCCGATGCCTGGAAGCTGGCCAGCCAGTGCCTTCTTGGCTTCATGAGTAACCTCTGGGATGTCTTTGATGGCCAAATTAAACTAGAAGAAATAATAATAATCAAAACGATTTTCATTTACACCAACAATCCAAAGCAGATCTACAGTAAAATGTAAATCATACCAGTCATTACAAAAGCAAAAGGTTAACGAATGGCTAAATTATTTTACCCAATCAGAGCCAGTAGGCGACGAGGACGAGCGAGTGCAGATCTTTTCTCCGAGGCGAGCCTGGACAATCACCTGGACAGTCTACAGAGGACACAAACCAGCCAAACAGTGGATAGCTTTCACAGCAACAGTTCAACTGCAGCACAGTTTGTGGAAAAACATGTTGTTGTCGACTTCTTACCTTCAAGGCAAAGAACTTAATGAACTTGTCCAAGTCTTTCTTATCCTGGGGACTCAGGCCACTGTCCATGTTGGCACGACCCTGCGATCAAACAAGACAACCACTTGGAGATTAATTTAAAACAGTGATTGTAATCCTCTTTGGTTCGACATTTGGTTGAAGTAATTTGAGTAGTTATGGTTCCTGGCCTGTTTAGGAATGATTCCAGACTAATAAGACTTATTTCACAGCAGCCATTTTGACATGAAATAGTAATAGCCAGTTAGTAGTTTGACCTGAAAGGAACAGGACCTAAGTTAGTATCATTGGTAACACCTGTGTTCAGACTACTATTTCATGTCAAAATGGCTGCTGGGAAAACGTTTATTTTGCCACCGCATCCAAAATTATATTCATTGCTGATTTAAAATAGTCAAACACTAATAATTACAGAGGTGGAATAAATGTAACCTACAATATTAGTGAATATTCACACAACACATTCACTGCTTACGTTAACCAGAACAGCTGGAGTACCAACAACAAGCAATGCTTTGACTAAATATAACAGTTACACACTGCTTTGCTGTATAGCAGTCACTGGCTGGAAGCAATGTACAACGCAATAAAAACGCATTAACAAAATGGCATAACATAAAAACAGGCACTAACAGGTAAAACACTGTTTATCACTGTTGTTTTTAAGCCTCCATATGGAAACTGTTTTTACTCCAAGTCAGCAAGCGAGGCCTCCACGTTGACATGAAATTGTCCGAACAAGACATGGCGGTCGTAATAAACTACAGACACTGACAGCCACCTCACACGGTACACTACACGACTAGGCAGATTATTAAAGTGCAATACCGCCAATTCATCGCTAACTATTTAACGTTTCCGTTTCTCAAAGAGGAGGCAGTGGATAGGTGACTCACTGGCCAACCAGCGTTAGCCTGTTAGCTAGCTGGCTAAATAACACGCACTTACACTTCGTCACAAAACCGCGAAACTTACATTAGCTTCTCCCACAGCAATGTAGCTTCAATAACATACAAATGATCTCAATGACGGCGACATGAACCGCTGTGGTCCGCGGATATTTACACGCCCTGTTCGAATGTACACAACGTCAACAGCGACCGTGCTACTTGTCTGTTTATCTTCTCCATGTCGACGTGTTTGGATAGCAGCACATTCCCCAAAGCACTTTCGTTATTTGTTTATTTTTTTTAAATATCTGTAAACTTTATGGTCTAAATAACACAAGACACCACATTTTAGATAGAAATATATAAAATAGATTTTTGCGAGCAACGAAACAACCGTTTACGCTATAACATTAACATTAAAATAAATGCGCTACTCTCCGTGTCGAATCTGTGAATGCGCGTGGCAAGTTTGGTGTTCCTGATGCATGTTTTGGTCGACAAACGCTGCACGACTGCCCTAAACGTAAGATACATTTCATTAATAGTGCAAAATAAATCAGTTCATTTTCATGTACAGCTTTACAGCGACGCGTTTCAAACGGGTCGTCTTCACGAGCACGAATAACTGAAGTTATATAAACCCAAATGCTACCTAGCTAGCTAGTTAGTTAGCACGTAAGCTTGACTTGATTCATATTCAGAACTAACGCTAACGTCATTTGCTTATTGTAAGCTTCACAACATGAGCACAGGGGTTTGCATGATGGGAAGTCAAAACTTACCGCAGTTTTTCAGCCAGCAATGGCTATATTGACACTGAAATAACAGCAAACAAATAAAATGATCTCTATGGGCAATGCAAATCATAAAAGAACACTTAATACAGCATTAAAGGCAAGCACATCTTACAGTATTAAAGTAGACCACTGTAAATGTAAAACAACAGCTGTAGTCACACAGTGGCTGAGATATGGCTATGTCATGGGTCATATGTGGCTACCAGATCTGGACCAGTCCACTGTTTGCTGATGATGTTGGAAGAAGCTTATAATGAATGTGAATTATTTATTGATGTAAATGTATTATTACCCACAGCATGGCGATCCCTATAGCCATCTTGGACTGTGATCTTCTCTTACATGGTCGAGGCCACAAGACCCTGGACCGCTTTGAACTGGACTCTGTCTCAGACAATTTCCTCCTCACGCAATTTGGCTTCCCCAGAGAGTTTATCCTGTATCTGGTGGAATTACTCAGAGAGGTATGTGCTCACACACAGGTTTGAATGATCACAGCCAGTCAACTATTCCTTTTTTTTAAAAACCTGCAGATACTTAGTCCTGTGTGTTTCTGCACGTTAGGCTCTCTGTAGACGTACCCAGCGCTCCAGGGCCATCAGTCCTGAGGTCCAGGTTTTGGCTGCTTTGGGTTTCTACACATCTGGCTCATTCCAGACGTCTATGGGAGATACGATAGGGATCAGCCAGGCGTCAATGTCAAGATGTGTGTCCAATGTGACCAGAGCCCTGGTGGAGAAAGCTCCCCAGTTCATCACGTTCAACAGGTATGATGCCATCTGTTGGATTACAGGGGTGTCTTATGTTATTATTTATGCTGTCATTATCAACACGAGGAAACATTATATATCATGCGCTTATTTTCACTTTAAACTACCTTGAAGGAGAATCATTGAAGGAAAAACAGCATCTATGGAGGTAACATCACCCTGGTTAATGTTCTTTAGTACAAATTACTTTTGATTTTCAAATGACTCTTTAAAAAAATCTGAAAAAAAGCCTGTCGGGATATGTTTCAAATACTTAGCCCTACTACTGGAAAGGCTTTAAGACTGTCAAAACCATCAGAACCTTAATATCATGGCTGTAAGAACATTGTGTCTAAGATATCCAGAAGAAAATTCTTTTCATCCCCCCTCTTCTCCCTCCCCCCCCTTTTTTCCGGTTTTATTTACAAAAGATGTCATTCGGTAATTTAATGAGGAATGGACTGAAGTGTTTATAGTAGTCAGTTTGCAGCCTTGTAGATTATAAGTGTGATTGTGAATAAGTGATGAGTGAGTTTTTAAAATCCCCATAACAAGTAAGAAACTAAGTTTTAGTTCACCTGCAGGGTTCCCACGCGCCCTAGAAAACCGTTGACCAATTGTCCACTTCTTAAAACACAAAATGAGAGAAAGAGTTAAATGTCCTGGAAATGTATTTAACATCCTCCTGTTTGTGTTATTAGTGTGTAAGCTGCACTTGGTAATATAATTTATTAGAAAAGGGAATTCAGGTTACTAAAAAGGTTCTATTACACTTGTCCTCTAATTGTAGGGATGAGTAACAGAAGTGTAAGTTTAAATCAGACTTCCACAGAGAGGAACATATAGTTCTATAGCAGGTTTATCATCTGTGAAAATGTCCTGGAAAATAATCTCTAGAAAACAGTGGGAACCTGGGCAGAGAATTATTTAAAAAGTTCCAGGTACGTAGCTACAGGAAACACTTGATTATTTGTGTATTTTGTAAATCCTGCATTTATTACGAGTTGCGACACTCCACAAAAAAAAACATAATGTCACACCTCACCCTGCACTTATGACTGTAAACGACTAGTATTTAGTTTTTTCCTTATTCAAGAAAATGCTGGATATTACCGTATATCGCCAATAAACTGTGGCCCGATGCTGATAGCCATGGTGGTGACTGACACGCTACAATGTGCATCGCTTGCTTTCGTCCCGCTGCAGCTGTAGATTGCAGAATATGGTTTTCTTAGTTAGTATTGTGCAATATTTAGAATTTCTCCTGTTTTGTGTCATTTAATGAAGTCTATATTGTGCCCTCTGCAGTAAGAACCATTACTACAACAACACGCTGACCTCACACACCTGTATATATTTATTACTTGATTGTGTGACAAGTTTCTGCCCCCTTGGCCAGTACCCAAACAATAGAAACACCCATATCTGCTCCAACAATGTCCATTTCCAAAACAAAACTTCCAGAGAAATAACTATGGAGAGTCAAGAAGCATAAATTATGTTTTATGCAAAATATTAACATTAATAATAAAATTTAAAATAAAAAATAAAAGTCCAATAATAATGTTTCCCAAACAGAGATCCCTCCAACCGAGAGCAGTCCTTCCAGGAGTTTCAGAGGCTGGCAGGATTCCCAGGAGTTCTAGGGGTGCTGGACTGTGTTCAGGTTCATTATATTATATTGCATTAACACTTTTGTACACTGTGTATGCAGGTGACAGCGCAACTGACCCGCCCTTCTCCGTGTTCTTTCCCCTCCGTCTCCAGGTCACCATCAAAGCTCCAAACAGCGAAGACTCGTCATATGTGAACAAGAAGGGGTTTCACTCTGTGGGCTGTCAGCTGGTCTGTGATGCCAGAGGGTTGTTACTCAGCGCAGAAACCCACTGGGAGGGTGGACTCAAAGACACCGAAGTTCTAGAAAAATCGGCTCTGTACAAACAGCTGCAGGACATAGAGGAGGGCTGGCTGCTGGGTGAGATGTGGATTCCAGACTCTGTGTCATTCTGCGGAGTCTGAAAAGATCCAGAAAAATAAATAAAGTCCTTTTATTGATTTCTGTTTCCTAGGCGACCGCCGTTACCCTCTAAGGAAGTGGTTGATGACCCCAGTCGACTGCCCAGAATCCCCTGCAGAGTTTCGGTATAATGTGGCCCACATTGCTACACATGAGATAGTGGATAGAACCTTCAGAGCCATCCAGACCAGATTCAGATGTTTGGATGGTACCAAAGGATACCTACAGGTACGCTGTCCTCTGAGCTAACCTCTCCCTGTCCAAAAATGAAACACTCAAATTATACTGTGCTATAAACTACACAGACCAGTACTGACATCACTGATACCTGTCTGTTTCGTCATGTCTGCAGTATTCTCCCGACAAGAGTTCGTCCATCCTGCTGGCCTGCTGCGTCCTCCACAACGCCTCCCTGCAGTCCGGATTAGACGCCTGGACTCTGGAGAGAACGGACCCTCTGGAGCAGCCCGAGAGCCTCGAGCAGAGGCCAGAGGACCGCGACAGCCAGGCAGAGGACCTCCGAAAACAGCTCATACTCAAACACTTCAGCTGAACCTGCTGGCTGGACTCACTCAAGTTCACGTCGAAGTCAAAGGGGGACCAAGACTAATAAGAGTGGGACCAGAACAGACTAATGGCATAAAGGACACAGACACAGTGTTGCTGATGCAGTTTTTTAATATTTTGCTGGTTTCTACTCTACTGACTACACTAAGATAACATAGTTGTATATGGAGGAACATGCAAGACGCTATACAACAAACCAGGACAACATTATACCCAAACACATTTCAAATATGTAATTGTGTGTGTTTTACAACTATTCAAACTGTGTGCAGCTGCTGTGTTATCGAGGTTTCTTTACAAGTGGAAAAAGGCCCCCTCCCTCCCTGTTTTTAATCCCTCCCCCATGAATCCACTGATTTTTCTCCCATTTTCTTTTCCTTCCCCACGTTGATTCCACAGGTTAAAATCTTGTCACAATACAAAAACAAGGCCCTTATTTACAACAACTGCACATTATGTTGTCATTATATGTACACTGGTGCATTAAGACTGTTGAGGGTGAGAATGACAGGATGATTGGGCAACGGGCTGCAGTCACGCAATGTTTTTGTGTAGCATGAGGGACACAAAATGAAACGAAGACAAGTTAGACGATCTGTGTCCATTGTAAAATAGGATTTCTGAGTGTTTTATAAGTCAGAACTCTTATTGTATCCTCGAGGATTTGGGCTGGGACAGTGAAATGTCTGTTTTTTAACGGCCTTTAATTTGAAGGAATACCATGACATATCAAAATAGTTTCTGGGGAGCATGGTTGTTTTTTTTTCTCGCATTGTCTGAATAGTGGTGAAGAAATAAAAGAGTTTTTGTAAATGTCCTGATGTTTCTTCAAATTGTGGAGATAACAAAGCTAGTGGTGTTTTACTTCCTGGAATGTATTAGTCCCCTGATTGGCTTCATCAATATATACACACTTTCTACAAACAGGAATAAATACAACATAGACTGCTGTCGCATGAACACATTTAGTGTTGATGTTTAGATGTTTGAGGTTATAGGATGCTTTTATTGAGCATTACTATATTTCTTTTTGAATCAGAAGTTGATTTGTGATGAATTTCTTTCTTTCCAGGCCACGAAACCAAAAAAACTGATTTTTTTTAAAGGTCCGAATAAACAAGCTAATGGCATTTTTAAATCACGAGGGAACAAAGAAAAGACCCCCTGGGGTTTTCATGCGACAGCAGTGAAACATAAACACTGTATTACAGTTAAAAGACACAAACAGATCATGTCAAAGTTTTACACTCCATGAAACAGCATGTAAACACACCATCATGTAAAACTTCACATCATCCTAAATGCCAAAACACAACATACGGTTCCTTTCTTTTTTTTTTTTTGCATAAAATAAATATGCTCTTTTTTGATGCTCAGAATATATTATAAGTTGTATTTTTGTGTTTTTTTGTAAACATTATTTAGAAAAACAAAACATTAAGATAAACTAATCTTAAAAACATGTTCAGTATTTATTTTTTTGTTGCATAAATTAAATATGCTCTTTTTTGATGCTGCAAATATATTACATATACAATTTTTAATTCCATAAAAATACTTTTATGTCATGTTTCCCCAACCTCTGTCGGTACCCCTTTAACGGTCCCTGGATATGAAAATATGGTTTCTCCCCAAAATGATGCAGAATTTTGGTCAGAATTTGGAAGTGTCAAACTAGCTTTAACTTCAAAATAAAACACATTACATGTGTTTGTTGTAACTCTTAACATTACACAACAGCAGTTCAAACCAAGGCTGGCTCTGCTGCTATGCCCCTAAATAAAACCTAGAGAGACAGATAAATCCTGAACATTCATCCAGAAACAAGAACTAGAAAGATAATGAAATGAGCTAAATCACACCCAGGGTGTTAGAAGGCCGAAACCAGCCCTGATTTAACCAGTGTGTAATCTAGTTATTGTTCCCGGTGTTTAGGTGTGTGTGTGGGTTTCAGGTGTAAAGGCTAAGTTGGTCATATTGGTCTAAATAAGTGGAAGGCACTTTTAAAATGGCACAGCTTCCTTTTAAAAAGGATGTGAATATTTTTACATGTTGAATTCATTATGCACATAGACTGTCATGAAACAATGAGTCAATTAGCTGAAAGTTAATCTGCAACCATTTTGATTAGCAATTAATCACTTAAAGGTGCTGTAGCGGAAATCTGCATTTCGGCTAATTTCCTGTCTGCTCTCACAATTAGCAGTCCCCTCCCTCTTCCCCACGTCACCACACTGACATCCTGCTGCCTCTCTTTATGGAATTCTCTCTCCTGATTGGATAAACTGGGGACGAGATACCAGAAAATTTGTGTTTACTGCAGAAAGGAGGGACTTGGTGACCCATGTTACCGACTGAACACTCTATCGGTGATGGCTGTCGGGATGTAGAGCTGTTTAAGGTTTATTTTAACAACAAAAAATTACTTACAGCACCTTTAAATTGAGTTTTAAGCAACAGTCTCTGGTTCCAGCTCCTCTAATGTGAGGATTTGCTGTTTGTATTTCATATCAGACAAAACCTGATATTTAAAGATGCTACCTTGGCCTCTGGGAAACTGTGACTATTTTATGACCTTTTGTAGTATTGATAAAATAAAAAAAACATAGTTAAACCAATAAACAAAACAAATGTTAATAACAGCCCTATATCAACAGGTATAGGTAATGGTGATTGAAAATGAAAGCACCATGTGCTAACATCAGCTGCAATCCCACAGTGGAGGTCAGTCAAGTTTCTATATATTATGTATTTACGTTCATGAGTTAAAGGTAAAGGTTTATCTGTGTGTTTCCCTCAAAATTAAGACCATATTACCCACAAAGCCCTCTTTGCTTACTCTTGCAAAGAGGATGTTGTTTTCTGTCTTAAGGGCAACGCTACAATGTGTTTGTTTTAGAGAGAAAGTGTCAATGGCTCTGGAGACCAAAAGCAGCTAATAATTCTTCATTATTTTTGTTAAAACGCTACACTTTGCATTTGTGTGTTGTATATTGTAGAGGTTCTTGTTTTTATGGAATGTATCTAAAGTTTTAATATTCTTTGAGACTGTACAAACTTAATTTGAATAATTAGTTTGGAATTTAAAATTGTACTATATTTCAATGCACACTCCAATAAGATGGTCCCTTTAAAATCCAGTATATTCAGGTGTAGCAGAGCCTCTTTGAGCAGAGAAGCAAGCACCACGTACAGGCAGTGTACCGGCTGTGGATGGCGGATGGGAGGACTGCAGTGTCTGAAGTCTTGAAGCTCACTAAAACTGATGATGATGGACTGGCAGAATCATGTAGATTTCGGTCCAGTTGCGTGTTGATATGAAGATTCCTGAGTTCAGGAATCTGGAGGCCTTTTAGGGGTCAGAGGTGAGAAGTCATGGGAGGAGGGGTCAGGTTGTGTCAGAAAAACTCGGAGACTCCGTCTGGTTTTGTTTCTCTGAGGGGAGAAGAGGCACTCAGTTAGTGTTGAGAGGGCGATGAAAGTTTTTTGACATAAAAAGATCACAGTATATATGTGTGTGTTTCTACCTCCGGTCTAACTCGGGCCCAGTTGTCTGGTTGCTGTGTGCGTCAGCTGTGTATCGGATGTGGGAATGGGCCTCTGATTGTAGCCGCTCCCCTTCTGATGTCACTAAACTCTCCTCCAGTGGAGCCCCTTCATTGTAGAAGAGCAGGCTGCGGGAACGGACTGCAACACACAAACACACACTGGTCTTCATGCTCATGTTCATGTGGGCTGCAAAGACTGGTCAAATTCATTCATTTCTTGGATTTCCTACATTCATGATCAAACACTGTTTATCATTTTGAACATATTTAGCCAAACTCCAGTTGTACATTTCATTAATCAACCAAAAAGTATCTGTTTCCAGAATTTTCAATGAGAATTTGTTGTTTTATATCATTAAACTGAATATCATTGGGTTGTGGACTTTTGGTTGGATAAAATAAGATATTTTAAGACATCACCTTGTTTTTTTGAGATTTTACATGATTATTTTATGGCCTATACACTTAAAGGACCAGGATTTAGTTGCACCTAGCAGTGTATTTGCAGATTACAATTCCTTTACAAACGTGTGGGAGAAACTACAGTGGCCACGAAACAGATGAAAAACGTGACAGGCACTATCCAGAGCCAGTGTTTGGTTTGTCCGTTCTGGGATACTGTAGATTTGCCAAAAGAGAGACAAAACACGCAGTAAAAATTAAAAGTTGAATTTGACTGATAGCATTAGTTTTCTATAGATACTGTGATAATATTATTTTGAATTCATTTGGTTACAATAATCATGTAGAGAAAATCTTTTCCTAATGGGAATATTAGGGTAACATTTGTGGAAGTATTGCTTTCAGGCACCATGTCATTAAAGAGAATTCTCTTTGGTCAGTGGTCGGACACTTTGTTCCTAGTTTGTTGCAGCCAGTAACTATCTCGATTAGTTGGACAATTTGACACCATCATCATGATAAAGTACCCTGAAAACAATCTAAAATGAGCTCTTTATGTAAAGAATAGTGTGTGATAACCTTTTTTAGACATCACAACCTTTCTAATATTATACACAAGAAACATCCAAATCTAATTGTTCTGAACGTTGTAGTGTCTCGTGGCCACAGGCTTCAGTAGGGCTGATTTCCAGCGCTGATGGTTACAGTCTAGCAGACTTTTTCCCATACCGCTCAGAGGTTGGTTGTTGGCATAAAGGACTGGTACTTAACATGATGACAGCCTAACTTCTAGTTTTTAAACGGGGTTTCCCCAAGAGTAAGTACTTAAAGTATTTTTATAGGGAAGAGGAATTCAGTGAGGAATTAAAGTTCTTCAGGAGTTGTTTGAGAGAAATAACTATATTTTATTTATTATTCTTATAATGAATCTTGTTTTTTTATTTCTGTGTACCAGGTAATTATCCAATAGATTCTCAGTTAGAAACTAAACTTTTGCCATTAGATATTACACAATGTGATGTCTTTAGGTTTGCTATCACTACTGACATACAATTACTGAATTCAACAAGTTGATTTGAATTGTTTTAGGGTTGTTGAAAGTTAACACTGTTAACTAAACGAGAGGTGATTGAGGTTTATAGGTACATTAAAAGGCTTAAATTAGCCTTTGAATGTACATATTTGTAGACCTACCCTGACTGGTGGTGTAGAGGTCCGCTGATGGAAGAGGAGGAGAGGAGGAGGGATGAGAGGAAGAGGAGGATGAGGACAAAGAGGAGGAGTCGGCGAGGAGGGAGAGGGGAGAGAGGCAGGGAGAGAAGGAGCCCAACACCAGGACAAAACACACGGCCATCATCTGCACAGAGGAAGGAGCAAAACACTCACATTAATAAATAATACTAAAGGGAAAGTGGCTAATGCTGGAGACAAAAGAAATGCAAAAAATATATAATAAAGTAACTTTAACAACAACAATGGCAACAAGAGCTTTACAATAACAACAACAGTGTTTACCATGAGGCATGTCCCTGTTTGAGTTGAGGCCATTTTACAAGAACGGGGGACAACTTTCCCTGAAATCAATGATTGAAGCTTCTGGAGCTGCTGTAGGAGAGACCTGAAGACAGAGAGAGACAGAGAGGGATTAAAGAGCAAGAACTACAAAGGTTATCATTCCACAGCTAGAGAAAGAGAGGGGATGAGGGAGTAAAACTCGAGGCAGAACATTGTTTGGTTGAGGACTCTGGACAGAGCCTCTGAGATGGCTCTTACCCTCTCACAGATCGCGCCTCAGCTCAAGGAAGTAACAGTGGTTAAAGTCTTATATTGTGATATTGTCTTACAGTTGGTAAAGGTTAGGATTAGAGCCTTTGTTGGGGGTTTCAGTGTGATGATGTGTGCAGAGCCTGAGAAGTTAAACTCAGGGCAGCAAACACCTGTATAGATCTTTCGTGTTTGTCCCTGCAGGAGGTTTCTTGCATGATTCACAATTTTAGACTCAGAAATTCTTTATTGATCCCCGAGGGGAAACGGCGCCATGTTACAGTTGCTCATTTCTATAATAAAAATACACAGATGGGTGACAATTTAGAGGAAAAACCAACACAAACTTCCAAGTCTCTGGAACCCTCTCCATTCTCCTGTAGGTGTTCAACTGATCCACATTATTTCCGTTCTAATTAAACCATTCAATGAGCCCTCGATTTCTGTATGAAAGCATTTGTTTGCAATCATTTTTTCCAATCATTTATTCAGGTTTTTCCTTTCATTTGTCACCTGTCTGTATATAGGAATAGAGAAATTAAGGAAAAAAGAAAGTGTACAATGTACAAATATGTGCATTGTACTTCAATATAAACAACTCTAAATATTTAAAAAAAAAGAAATATGGGCCACATACTACATTATATAAGAGTGTAAATAAATAATAATGCTGATAAATGTAAATGAGAATAGTATAAACAAGACATTTTGATTGAAATATGCTGTATAAATCCCAGAGTACTGCACAGTATTGGGTTGATTGCACATTACAGTAAACTTTATCCACCTTATTTACTGTTGCTGTTTGTGTCAGCCGGAGTAAGTAAACGAGTGCAGTAGAGCTGGACAGAGTATCCCAGTAAAACCACTAGAATACAGTCTATCAGTGGGATCTGGAGAGCAGGGTTCTGATGGTATGAGCTGTCGGTAGATGCGCGGACACACTCTGACCACTAAGTGGAGACAGAGGACCAGTTGCTACTGAACACACTGTGAACCAGCCCTCAGAGACTCATTTAATGAGTGAGAAATGAAACCAGACAATAAACGGGTCAATCAGTCAGTCAGATATTCAGGTGGCAAACTAAACAGTGAGTCAATCCGGCTGTCTGTACATTCAATGCTTCAAATTTCCATGCTGCTGTCTGTCACATGCACCAGAATGTAGCATTAAACAGTTGCCAGCTGTAATGAACTTATATTGGATGATACTGACCAGCATCAATCACACAGCACTTTGATGTAAAACCACAATGATTTACTGCTCAAGTTATTGCTGCTTTAAATACACAGTACTTCCAAAGGTCATGCTGGTTGACGGGGTGAACACTTGTGTGTGTAAACAGTCAGCACGAGAATGGAAACATTTTAATTAATGGATTAAAAATGAACAGAAAACTGTGCTTGGGGTTTTTTTTTTGTTACTTTTTAAGTGGAGCTATAGCGGTTTCTCCTTGTCTCCAGAGTTTGTGCTAAGCTAGGCTAAACATATCGTGAACCGTAAATTATTATCAATCTGACTCTGGCTAAGACAGCAAATAAACATATTTTGGAAAGTTTTTAACATATTTAATGCTACATGGAGGTGGAGTAGCACTAACCTAGGCCTGTATGAATCAAAGTGGACGTGCAGTGCAGAGAAACCATTGCATGCAGAACAAAATGACCACTAATAACTGTATTTGGGGCCTTTTTTAGAAACTAGGAGCTTAAATTTAGTTCATTCGTTTAAAAAAAAAAATGTTCAGACCTGCACACACTCAGGGACTTTATTTGAGAGTGAGCGTGCTGACTCATGTTTGCCAGTTTGTGCCAACTCATTGTTCCTCCGTGTGGTGGTTTAACATATTCATCAGTGTGATTGTGTGTGTGTGTGTGTGTATGGTGGAAGGGAGGGGGTTGCCTTCTATGATGAAAGCTACTGTTAAGTCGCAGCTTTAATGACAGGCTGAGGCTGCCACAGACAGACAGACATAGAGACAGACGCCCCCCTGCCTCCCCTCAAGCCTCAACCCTCTATCCCACCACACCCACCCACCCATCTACGCACCCACTCCTGGATAATAGCAGATTGGTTTCATATTGTTATAATGACAGAGGAGCTGGGTGAGTCTACACTTTCTAGACAAATTTCTGTTTAGACTCCTATAATTCTTTCAGTGTAACACACTGCAAATAAACTGTAGACTCCAAAGGCTTTTACATACAGAGCATAAATAATAGCACGTATAACCTACAGTAGAGTGCTTTTCTTTCTTCTTTGATAACTACAGGACTACAGCTCACTCAGAGCTTTCCTGCTTGCAGTTATAATCATCGTTATTCTCAGAGAAAGATTAAAGAAAACTGAGGGCCGGTTTCTTTGGCCCTGCTATAACGCAGATCATTCAACTCTTCGCTTATCAAGACGCATTCTTCGCCATCTTGTTGCTGTTTTCAGTGATTATAATCCAAACATCGTTACAAGAATGTTGGGTCTGTGTTATTAGTGTTAGGAGCCAGCACACATCAGCTTTGGCCTGTTCAGAGACACAACAGCAAGACAGCACTAATGTCAGCCAGTGTGTGTGTGTGTGTGTGTGTGTGTGTGTGTGTGTGTGTGTGTGAGCCTCACCTGTTGGCAGTCTCCAGGTTTTCTACTTTTCTCCACAGGTCGCTGTTTTCTGACGTGTAGCTCTCCACCCTGATACACACAGACAGACAGACAGACAGATGTTTGCCTGAGATCTGATTTTTACAATGTTTTGCTTTGAGAACGCAGCAAGGTGCAAACCAGTGTGGGCTTTTACTGCAATCAGAAATAATGTCAATCATCAAGGCTGAAATAGCAGCCGCGCAAGATGGGCGACTGCCACGGGGCCCCAGACCTCCAAGGGTCCCAAAAGTGTAAATTAAAGTTTTATCAAATGACACAGAAGATCTAGGGCCAGTATCCTTCCAGCATTGTGGCTGTTTCGTGGATCTCTGGGAGTTTAATGGAGCTGCCATGTGTAGTCTGCTGTGAGCGCTGGACTTCGGAGGTGACAGGTGGGACTCAATAGGGGCCAAAACCAACTTTTTCTTGGCCCTTTATAAGGTTAATCCGCCCATGTCACTACTCGTTTATATTCCATCCAACTGTCAAGCTAATCTTATGCTAACGTTCCCTAACGCTAACATTGGATCTGCACACAAAAACAGAGAATCAAGAGTTGTGCTTCTTGTAGCTGGTTTGATTGAAATTGACAAAAGATACACATATTCTACTTTTACAGATTTATATTAATTAATAATACACAATTCTTCTTCAGCTAATGTGAGCAGTATTGGGTAGTAACAGATTACATGTAATCAGGATTACATAATCAGAAAACTACAAAAAATAATACCATAGATAAAACTATTAAATCAGCACAGGTTGCATCTGAAAAATGAGTAATGGATACAGTTAGTTTTTGTAACCCAATGGATTGTATTCAGTAACTACATTTCAAAGTATTTTGACCTAAGACTGAATATGAGTCACATTTAATGCTTTCCATGCTTTGCATAAATCAGTATGTGAATTCTAAACACATGGATGGACTGGATATACTGCACGCAAGATACATCATTTTTATTTCAATAATCATCATAGGACCACGGTGGAATGATGGACATACTTGTTTTGTGCACAACATACACAACTGGATTTGCAAGATGACAGATGTTCCCCTCCCAGCTGTGTCTTCCCCTCATCTCCTGCTAATCCTATTGATCTCTATTATCAACTGAACATCTTGTTAATCTTGTACTCTGTACATCATAATCCTCCTGATCTCCTCCTGTGTTTGGTTTGAATAGGACTTATTCCTTTCAGCGAGTGGTCCCGCTGTTTTCTGTCTGAGGGATCCTCCAATAATCCTGTCCTCACGTCCAAAAAAGAAACAAACACAAAGGATATAAAGAAAGGGATTTCTGGTTTTACATACCTCTTCTTACTTCTCTCAAGTGTTCATACACATGGTCTAAAGGGATTAATAGGACAGTGTGTTTCCACCTGTATGAACCGCTTTGGCTGTTTATCAGCTGACTGAAGCAGTTTACTTTTTGCTTTGAAAGCGACGTAAAATGAAGCCCACATTTTCACCTCTCTTTCGCTCTCCCTGTCAGAGACTCTTTGAATCTGACCCATGTGTTCAGCAGGTTATTGGAGTCCTGCCATAGCAAGGAATGGCCAGAATAACAAAGGAAAGAAGAGAGGAAGGACTTTCTGGTAACTTTTGATGATGAAACACATTCTGTAAGTATTATGTGTTCATCTGGATATTTCTACTTGACCCCACAAGGACCTGTGAGTTTGCTGATGTGCTGCCTCCAGTTAAATTCCCTACAGAGCTCTTGTGTCTGTTACCACACTCAGCTCCAAAGCAGTTGGGAAAACCTCTAAATACAAAAACTGCCTCTTAACTACACTTCGACTGCCAACTTCACTTCAGCATTACACAACTCTATCTTTTCCCTCTTTTGCCAGTTACATTTTTCAGGTTTTGCCTGTGCCAGCGATGCACAATTATGTATAAAAAGGCCTATGGTTAGGTTCAACTCAGGGGAAACCTCATGAGCCAACACGGCTGCTTTCTGGACCAAATACAAATACTCTTAAATACATTGTTAGACAGCTTGGAGAAGGGGATGAAAAGGCTTTTCATTCATTGCATAGATATTGAAGACTTGAAAAATAAAAAACCAAAGGTACACGATGAGTACATAGCAACAAGTCACCAATTTTGAAGGATAAGTCTGGTAATATTGTACATTTGTCTTTTTTCTATTATTATTTTCTCTAGGTTTTCAAGTCTATATTTGGATAGTGACCACTGCAGAGAGACAGGAAACCCCAACAAATGCACTATTTCCTCCTGTTTGAATTACCTTTGCTCAAACACGAGGAGACAAGTTAAATATAAGGCTTTTTAAGATCATTATGAATGCAATTTACGATCTATTTTACTTTCATTCAGGCAAAAAATGATGTGAATGACTTTGAAGTTTCATTTTGTTATAGCATGATCAAATCTTTCCAAAAAGCACATTTAAAAGTGAGACTGAAAAAAGCAACTTTATACAAGTAACGTGAACTCAAAATCAATTTAATACATTTTAAGGCCTTACCAAGTGTAAAAACTACAGTGCCCAGTTGTTTTAGGGAATTATTGAGCGTTTTTTCAGCCATGATATTTGTGTTTTTAAAGATTTATGTCAGTAGAAACTAATAGAGGTGGGGCTGAGAGCCACAGACAGAGTGAGGAAGTCAGAACGTATTAAGAGACAGACTCAGGCCTCATTATTCATAGAACAGTCCTCGGAGAGCCTCTGGAACCCCCTGGCCGACAGTGGAATCGTGGTCGGATGACAAACGACTTATATTGCTGCAAGCATAGCCTTGACACACTGTTGGTTTTATTCTTTTCATGTGATTTGTTGACAGCAAGAAAAATACAGAATAATTTCTTCTGTATTTTTCTTACTTCTTATCCTCAAAATTCTGCCACTAATAGCAGGGTAAACTCAGACGCTGAGCTTTGTAGAATCTGTTAAATAAATTCAAGAATTTGAATCGATTACTTTTTTTAAATTTTGGATGAATTAGAGCTTAGTTCAGCAACAATGGTGTGATTTTATTCTTCCAGACTGCAGCAACTTAGTATTCTGAATAATCAGGACATCTCACAGCTCTGGCTGGACTATTCCAATATTATGGCCACTAATATAGTGTAGTAAGGTTACTTTAATACCATTCGAGGGGACTATAATGAGAAAAAAGGGTTTGGAAATATAGACAGTGAGATACAAAGGTAACCCAAAAGGAGTGGAAAAGGAATGGAAAAAATGGGGACAAGGATATTTTCCAAGCCTTACTTTTTCTCCAGACATTCCACATACTCTTTCTTCTTCCTCCGACTCTCCTGAGCTGAGATCTAGGTAGAAAAACAGAAAAATATCAGCAAGATGCAAAGACCTGAGTCACAGGTTCTGTAAATAGCTGATGTGTAAATCACACACAAAATGAAAGGTGCGGTGTTTACCTTATTTTTGATCTTCCGTCGGACTCTCTTCAGTGCCTTCTCTTCACTCTTTGTGAGAGGAAGTTTGTTTGGTACTGGATAACCCTCAGCAACCAGGGTCCTCTTCTCTTCTTCTGTCAGCATGAGGGGACCTGAACCCTGCAGCTTCTGCACAATGAAACAAGCACCACATCAATGTATTTACAACCATTATCAGCTATTTATGTTCGAATAAACCCTGCAGGCAACTCACTCATCCGCTTTTCCTTTTAACAATCACTTTTGCATGAAGAGTTGAATTAATTCATCAAATATTCTAAAAGTTCAGTGTGATTACCCACGTTGACGTGTTTCCAAACACACTTATCTACACACTTATCTAAGAAAAGAGATTACTGAGAAAAACTGTAAAAAAAAAAAAAAGAAAACTTCACAGCTTTATCAAATCAAACATTTTGCTGACATTAAACCATTCTGTATAAACATGCGGTCATAAGGCATTACATTATGGCATTAGTACAAATGTGATTCATTTGTTCAGAGAAAAGCAGCTGAATCAGACAAACAATGGTCAGACACTGAATTTATTGAATTTCACTGAATAGGCCCTATTTTGTCAGCACATTATTGGACCAATTTAACCCCAAAATGACAGACCAGTAAGTAAACAAAGGCAATAAAAACAATTCCACAAAAGCCTGTAACAATATATCGTCATGTAATCTGCAAAGATTTTTATGAAAAGCCCCCCCTTTCGACCTTAATCATGTTAATAAAACGAAACTTAACATAGCTCAAATTAGAAGTGAAATTAGCAATTGACCCTCTAATAACTGCTCTAATAACATTTGAGCAAGCCTTGGTCAGAACCTGGTTACTGAAAACAGCCACGTGTCACTCAAAGTGGCCATGCCCTTAAATATGCAAAACTTTAAACCTTGATCATTTAAAAAGGTGAGTTATATAAAAATTACCCCCCCATTTTTTTGGACCGGGCTGTGAACATGTTTATTTCTGCTGTAAAGTTGGGCATTTTAATATGAGGCCTTATGGAGATTGACTCACTTCTGGTGCCAGCTTCAAGTGGCCGTTCGAGGAACTGCAGTTTTTGGCACTTCGTCTTGGGTTCATTTGCCAGCCACGGAGGTTGCCGCTTGACTTAGATATGCTGTGTGCTAGGCTCGTCTATGTTGAAAAGACAATAGAATTGTGAAGATGGTTAAAAGATAAAAGCGACATATAGTCTCATCTTAAATTAGCTAATGTTAGCAAAATGTTAGCTAACTACCTAACTCATGATTGATGTAAATTAGCAAGCTAGTTAGTTAGTGTTTTGCTAACATGAGCTTGCTAACTTAAGATGTGACAATATATATGTCGCTTTTACCTTTTAACTATCTTCAAAATGTGTCTTTTCAACATAGACAAGCCTAGCACATAGCATACAGGAAAGGAGAAAGTTGACTGAGGCTTGCTCAACTGTTATTGGAGCATAAAGCAAAACGGGCGGGACTTAGGAAGGGTCAATTACTGAGGGGCTTCAGCACCGTAATATTTTTGCCAACCCATTAGTAGAAGATGTTGGGTTGACATACATTATATTTTAAGCTAACTCTGTTGTATGTGATACGTTTAACTTTACCATAGTTCTGTTATAATGCAGAATAAAGTGAAGGCGACTGTTGAGCAGTGCACTCTGCAAGATTGGCAGATTGGTTTGTTCTTTTACTCACATGTGGTGCAGTGAGGAGAGGTGAAGAAGAGATGGCGGAAGAAGAGGAGGAGGAGGATGAGGAGGAGGCACGACCTCCTGGCCTCTGTTGTGGTTGAGGGGAAGACGGTGGCAGAGGGAGGTGTGGGGAGGAGGGAGGAAGGGAGCCGTCGCTGTCGCCGTGGTTGCTGCTGGGAGGGGTGGGCGGGAGCTGGAGAGCATCGTCTAGAGGAGAGGAGGGTGTTGAATGATTTTTTCTATTTTAAACTTTCTACATTGTTCTGCTGCTAAAAAGAACACAGCAAATAAGTCCACTAAAAACTGATCGAGTTCAGGGAAATAAAGTCCTTCAAATCAATAAATTTTTTGACCATATTTTCTTAAAAATATTGCAGAGATTAGACAAACATTGCTGGTACTGGATACATTTGTGTCTCTTCCTATAGAGATAAAATTGCTGCTGAACTGAATTGTGAAACCACTGTAACATGTGGGTGTGTCTGTGTTTTGTGTACCACTGGGCAGGCTGAGGTACTGTCCAATCTCTTTGGGTTCATCTTTTATGGCCACTGGCTTCACTTCGTCTTGACTGCGCTCCTACGGAAACACATAAACAACAGCGATGCTGATAAACATTGCTTTTGAACTGACAATTTAACATCAACGGAGCAATTTGTACTGTTTCGGCATTGAGACGCAGGCCTGGCAGATGCTAACCGTGTGTCTCCATGGTGACCCTCTGTGTGGGGGGGCAGGACTTAATATGAGAGGCGGGCCTTCCAGAGGCTGAGGGTCTAACCTTTGACCCACATCGGGCTCCTCCTGTTTCACCAAGATGGCCGAAAGGTCCTGACTGAAGTTCCATTCAAATTCTGAGGGAAACACAAAATACCATAAAATGAATATCAAATCAACATACAGTATATATTTACAAAGACATTTTTGTTCTAATGTGTCTTTTTGGCGATGGACCACTGCAGTGTTTTGTAGGTCCGTGCTGAATCGCTTTATTTAAAGATCACCTCCAGACATGTATTAATACATACAAATACAAAAAAAGGACAATTTCAACAAAAGTGATCTACTCCTTCAACCTCATTAAAAATTCCAAAATCTATTCATATGCAAATGTTTTTTTATTTCCAAAGTTTTCCTGCTGCCCACAAGATGTCTCCTCCTTCACTGTAAAGTCCATTCTCAGTGTATGTGCACTGGTGGCTTCGAGTTTCAAGGATGGACTTCTGAGATCAGTTTCTAAACTCACTTTCTAAAGTCAGTTACTAAAACTAACCCTAACTAACACTTCACAGTTATTCCACTTTTTATTCAGTGGAAGGCTTGATGGTGCAGAACAGGGGATCCACCTGGTGATTGTTGCATACATCCTTAGAGGTCATACTGGTGTGTCAATTTGACAAAACAATGCCAAGTCAAGGCCCCCTTACAAGATGTCCCTTAGTTTCCCTTGAGTTGAGATTCTTTGTGTGAAAAACGACAAAAATATCGCCAACAGCTTAGTAATAATGAAGCCTTAAATCCAGCCCAGAAAGCTCCTTGCCCTGTTCAGAAAGCAGAATGAACCTCAGCATTCTGAGCGACTTAAGTAACCTTAACTATCTCTCTCTTCAGGGAGGCTTTGCTGTAGGTCTTCCAATGGGAAGTAACTGGTAGCTTATAAATCACACTTTCAAAGAGCTTCCCCAAAACATTTGAGCACTTCCTGACGAAGCTGGTCATTATAGACTGCTGGACGACGTCGCTCTGGCAACTGTGGTGCATAATTTGTCTCCAGCGAGTGTGTATCTACCCTGAAATAAAAGATGGGCTGAACCAGCAACTCGTCTTCAGTATCCTTCCTGAGAAAAGAAACTGTTGCTGCCTTTAAACACAGCAGAAAATATGCATAATTGAGTGACCCAACAATGAGGTCAGAGTACAATTTTAAAGGAGGTTCACCAAAACATAATGAAGATATATTTCTAAGAGCATCTCACAGGTACACCGTTGTTTAGTCTACTGTGAGCTGCAGAAAGTATTTTTAGGGATATAAGTGCCACTGCAGGGCTGCAGGAAAGTTAGTCACTGGCACTCCTGGCATATTTGGTGTCCTAGTGGGCAAGATGATAAAAAGGCTCCGGTCCTCCCCGCCAACACCAACCAACCTCCTGAAATAACCTTTGGCTAACCAAAGCTCACAGGGAGGGATGCTTATTGTGGGGCAAACATCGTCACAAATCATCAGAGGCAATCAATAACAAGCAAAGAGTCATTTGACAGTATGTGCACTGAGTCAAACAAACACAAACACAAACAAACCCAGATATTACCAATGATACTAATTAAGGTTCCATTCAATGTAGTGTAGCAGCCCCCTGACTCTGTTTGACATTAATTTCTATAGTATGAGTCATACTTTTAATGCATTTACATGGAGTCAAGTAATCCAGATGTCATGCTAGTGGATGGTAAACTTAGCTGAGGTCAGCTGAGAATACCGGTGGTAGACAGCGTTGTCCTCCAAAGTTAAAATGTTTGAACTTTCTTTCTCCACAGCAGTATTTAAAACTGGATCTTATGAAGCTCCCTCACAGAAGGAGAAAATATGGGCAATCTGGACAACAAGAACTAATTAATAACTTACATAAAACAATATACACAAAATAATCGCATTTAATATATTTATTCCCTTCTACGACATCACCATAGCAACATATCATACATGTTTCATTTTGCTGTCCTGTCATTCTGTCAGACTGAGTCCATGTGAATGCAGTATTAGTCATTCATACATTAATTTTCTAAAATGTCACAAAAGACAGTCAACCAGAAGTTTAACTTTATCACAAAACACCATGAGCAAATACCAAGAGCTAACTCTACAGGAAATAATTTGCCCAAATAAACATTTTTTTCCAGGACTTAGTAGTTACAGTATAATAGTGGTTGCCTTACAGGCAAAATGTGGAGCATTTTGGAGGATCAATGGAATATAACATTCATAGGTATGTTTTCATTAGTGTATAATCACATGGAAGACGCTGTAGCTGGCTCGACTTTAGCTGCAACGCAATGGAGCGTCATCCTGCAAGGTGTTGCATTTGCAATTATGTGCACACTCACATACCTGGTAGATTAATTTGTAGTGTGAACGCCTATTCTCCTATTTATCTCGCGATTGCTGTGATGGAAGATTAAGGTGTGCCACTGTGAAAACTTTCCAGTGCTGTAAAGTTAGATAACACATTTTTTGTGTTATTTATGGCGACACCAGTACATCAAATGGAAATGACGTAGATGTATTTTATTCAAAATAACGGTCGGTTTATTTGGACAACCCCTGTCCACACAGGAAGAGTTTCTAATGATGGGTCTACCAGAGTTGAAGGTTAACTGTGTATGCTTTCAATTAAGGCCCTTTTAAAGTCAATCTGATTAGGCACTCCTCCAAAAAAATCCACCTAACAGTCAATGTCAAAGTTTGAAACTTTCAGCATTAAACTTTAAATTGAAAAGTGAAACCACGTTCTGGGCTATGACATAACCTTTTAGAGGCTAATAGCAACAAAAAAGTAGCTGCAAGTCCAGAAGGAGGAGTGTGTTATGTTTCATTGAGTCAGCATCTTTTCATTTTAGAATAAGACATAAACACCCGGAGACACTTTGATGTTTGTCACAACACACACACACACTACCAAAAAGCTCCCATAGTGGAAAGAGAGCAGTAGCAGTTTAACAAGGCGAGGGCTGCTGTATGTATGTGTGTGTGCGCGTTGGGAGTGAACGTCATTTTAATCACTGGTTTCCTAGCAACATTCTGCTGGTAAAATGCTCTGAAGTTTACAAGCTGTGTGTGCTGGGGAGAAGCGTGGGGTGGTGGAGGTGTGTGCCCGTCAGAGAGCTGGTAGCTTCTTTTTATCCTGTCCATTACTACAGCGGGGGTCAGCACGGAGAGAGTCCATCCTAAAAACAAATCCCTGTGGCTTCTTTCTGCTGTCTTACACACCCCAAAGTCACTACCTGCAAACTCGATGACAGTAACACACAGTAGCTAATATAGGTGATATATTGTTAAAAATCAAAAGAGAGTCAGAAAAAAACCATTAGATTAAAATACAGTGATGGAAACTGTTAAACCTATGTAGCTGTCACATGTTCAATTAGTTTAAGGGATGTTTATCATTGCGGTGCCATAGCATGGAAAACCCAGCTGCAGTATTAACTCCAACCAGTCACCAGTAACAATTTTATAATTTTATATACTCTCCCATTCACTGCTACCTCCAATATGTCACTTATGTCATTGATCAGCACGGTGATCAATCAACCACTGATTACATTTGTAAGCGTGTGAATTCAGTTTTGGGGTGGATCCACCATTCTACCAATTCCCCACATCCTCTCTGTAAGTACGACCCTCAGAGGCCTCTCCTAATGAGGCCCGTCCTGCTGCTTCCTGGAGCCTCGTTAAGCCTCCTGCCCTTGTTAAGCCAGGGCTTGATTGGAAGCCCTTTACCACTGTTTCTTAATGAATACCAGAGCTAGTTAGCTGTTAGCCAGAGCATAGGAAGGCTGTACTCTGGTAGGTTGATCAAAGACAGAATGACACATCTTTTGACAGTGTTGAGGGGAAGTTTGATGAAAAAGAATAAATTTTTTACCCTTTTCTTATATAGTTGTACATGATTATGGACCGTTTTCTTTCTGTCTTGCATGT